ACGCATCCTAATACCAGGTGTAAACAGAGCCTTATAGTCACAATTTCTTTTTTTTTGTAAACGGCTCTTAACTCTTGTATGAATGATATACAGTATATCACCAATATTCTGAAAACATACAGGTGAGGTATTATTTAATTTGCAGTTTGGTTGCAGGTACTGTTAGTGCTAAAAAGTGATATTTTAAGCTCCAAAACACCTGATTATAAATTGACTTGAAGAGAAATTTTCCACCTTAAAAAGTCACAGTTTAAACTTGATTTGTAGTCAATGAATTGAGGCCTAAAAACTAACATTTACAAAATGTCCTGTGTGACTTTTGAACAAAGACAGTCAACAAGAGCAGGTTAAACTTACGAAAAGAAATCTGAGCACATTAGCATAATGTCATAATCAGATCATAATAATCTCCTTATCTGCTTATCATATTTGGATTGATCTGGGACAGAAGCGGATTTTGGGAATCACAAAGCTTCAATAAGACCAGAAATATATGGGTTGCTCAGTAATATAAATTCTGCACTGCTACTCTAATGGCACCTCATTTTGCAGATTTCTTATCTTAAGAATTGCTTTTTTAAAGATCATTATTTTGTGTATTTGGTGTAACAGAATATGTTGACATGCTTTAATGTTCAAAAAACACATTATTTTTCAAATACTGTACAAATATTTCCACATAGTGGGGTAGATATGTGGGGGCGTGTTAGAATGAGCCGTTTTAGGGGGGCGTGGCAGAGTCTTAACTTTGATAAAGAATATCTCTTTTGTTTTGAGACTTTAGTCTTTGCAACTTCAGGGATCTTATCTATGCACAATCAGCTTGTAACACTCCAAAGAGAAAGGAAAACTTGAAATCGCATCATATGACCCCTTTAAGAAAAATAAAAAAGCCTCAAATATAAAATGTTTCACTCCTCAAAGGAAATATTTATTTGTCATTTCATATGGTTTCAGTATTACATTAACCAGTTCAAAATTATTTACAAAATGAACAACATTTATCACTGTTATGATGCTTGCTCAACTGTATCAAAAGAATAGTGCACCCAAAATGAAAATTCAGTCTTAATTTATTCACCCTCATGTCAAGCTTTAAAGATGGTAGCTCTTTTTTGTAATGCATTATAATGAATGGAAATCACCTTAAAAGTGGTTCATGCAACTTGTGCAATATTCTAAGTCTTCCAAAGCCATACAAAACCTTGTGTAAGAAACCAGCTGTAATTGAGAGAAGTTGTCTGATTCGTGAACTAGTCATTCTTACAATAGGAATCATTTCAGTAAAGTTATAACTGGTCTGAATGATTAATTTACAAATCTGCCTGTTCTGGTTCTCAAGTTCAACGTATACCGTGATAAAAGCATTAGCAATTAATCGCAACATGAAAATTTGATACCGGCATATCCCTAAGTTCAACTCAGTGACTTAAAGAGAAAAAATGAACATTTTGTCATTATTATTTACTCACACCTACGTTGTTCCAGACCTGTATGCATTTATTTCCTCTGCAGAACACAAAAGACAATATTTTGAAGAATGTTGTTAGCCAAACAGTTTTGGTTACCATTGAGTACCACTGTATGGACAACAAAATCAAAAACACTGAGACATTTCTCAAAACATCCACAGAAGAAAGTCAGTCATACAAGTTGGGAATGACATGAGGGTGAGTAAAAGACAACAGAATTTTCATTTTTGGGTGTACTTTTCCTTTAAGGGCATTCACAGTGTTTCATACTGGATGTTATTTCAGTCTCAACAGCTCACCTGCAGCACAGGTACCCTTTATCAATTCAAATTATGTCTGCATGAGTAAATCAAGTCCAAAGTTCCAGAGATGTCCTCGTACAGCAGCTTTATGACATTTGCACCTATGAATGATTGTTTGACCAGGACTGCAGGCTGTAAACTGATAATTCTACTGAGCTGAAATGCGAACAACAACAGGAACATCAGGCTGTATTTTATTTTACATGTACAGCCACTGTAGGTTAACAGGTGTAAGAGACGTACCCTGGGGGATAAGGATATTTAGAACAAATATTTTCTAGTTGAAAGGTGAAACTAATCTCTTAACAGATTTAAATTCAACTGACTAAGTTTGACTTTCTTCCTCACAACTAGTTGCAAGCAAGTGATGGATCAACAATTAACCCTTTCATACTGCAACAGACTGTTTGAACATCATACAAGTCGCTAAACATAACAGCACAGAGACTTTGAAACCCTGTAAATTGTAAAATATTTCATTTCTGTTCCAAAGATCAAACAGCAGCTAATATAATTTGTGAGAATTAGTTTAGACATAAATTACTGGTCTCCATTCACTTCCTTCCGAGGACAAACCTCTCCCTTCTCTTACACAAGAATGACAAACAAGTCTAGCAGGTTAATACGAACCTGTCTTAGTTCCATTGCCAATTCACTAAGCAACATGATGAATGACGGCATTACATAACCTCAGCTTCAGCACTGCTAGCAGAGTTTCTCTCCTATTCTTAAGCTTACCAGACAGGAATGTGCCTTTACTACATTCTTCTTTTCATTTTAGAATCGACTAGCTTTTTCCATTTAGACCAGCGGTGTCAAAGACATAGCCAGTGGGCTGAATATGGCTCACTGGGGAATCCAATCTGACCTGTGGGATGATTTGAGGGTAAAAATGAAAAGTAAAAACATGGTGAAAAGAAAGCAATAATATGTTGTCCATATTGTTTCTTAGTATGAAATTTTCAACATGTTAAATTTTACTTGTACGTCAGGACAGATTAACTTTGTCTTAATTTGTCATTCTTTTAATAACACACATCATGCAACTGTCCCAGAGCCAGCCATTTCATTTTTCCAATTTGTTGCTAACAGCAATAAGGTGGACAGATTATATACAAATTTGACTCTGTTAAGTAAAAAGCTGTACAATTTTGAGCGTGGTTAATACTACAAAGGTATTTTTAATACTAAAAAGTAAGGCAAGTTGCAAATTTGTTATGTAGGCCCTATATGTAATATGTAAGTTTCCATTTGTTTTACCACAATATTTTTCACAAAGCATAAAGCTCATTCTGCACTTTTTTTTTTTTTTTTGCATGCAACCAGATATGAAGAGATCAATGTCTCAATGTTTTCGTACAAATTTGTACAGAAACATACAATTTTTAGAAAATAATAAGCATGAAGGTCCAGTCCTAAACTACCAGTGGGGCGAAATCAGATCGTACAAAAACATATGAATGAGATGTACAAATTAATACTAATTAGCCATCCATTCGCCCAACTATCCAGAATAGTTACAAATTGCCATGAGAGGGTGTTGAGATTGACACCCCTGATTTAGAGGCAGACAGGAAGGAAGGAAAATCAGAGAGCAGGAAAACAGAGAGACAGATAAAAGTCATCAAGTCTGTCTTGTTTCTCCATATGGAGGAGAGTCATTAATTTCTGCTGATCTCCAGACGCTGTATTATTCACTTTCCCCTGACCATCAGCGATGCCCTTCCTCCTCACCCTCATCATTTATCACCTCACCTCAGAGACTAAATATCCACTGTGGCCTCTACCACACAGTTCCATGTCTTTACTGTATTCAATACCAAACCCTGTAAACAAGACAAGCATTGGATTTGATTAATTATTACTAATACAACTATTAATATTATGTTATATATCATATTGCAATCTGTTTCTATATGGAAGTGCTATTTATTATGACAGAGAGCTATTTAATATGACAGATTTATTATGACAGAGACTAAAATTATATTGGTTATAATATATATTCAAATTGAAAAAAGGTGTTGTTGAGAAGTTAAGAGGAATGCATGGAAATGGGACAGTTATCAGAAACATGCATCTTAGTTTATCTTCCACCATGGAGGATAAACCTGTACACGCACACACACAAACAAAGAGAGACTTTTCAATTTGTCATTAAATAGACTGAAGAAATTCTTACAGTATTCTTAAATAATGTTACACAATAATTGCTTCAGAAGTACTTATACAGTGAAATTCTGGGAGAGGCTGGCTTTTAAAATAGAAAATTTTGATACATTTGATGTAAGCTAATGAGGTCTATAGACAGCTGAAACGGTCTACAGTGAACAGGGTAGATCTGAATGAATGGGAACACCAGGGGCAAAGTCTGTTAAGAATGTGAACTAATGTGCAGCGCGCTCTCTCTCTCTCTGTCTCTGCACAAGCATTAAAAGACTGTAGATACTGTGCCTTCAAGGCATATGCACACAACTAAATAGCTGTGAGCAATCTATGATTGTTGTTAGTGGATGACAGAATTTTTATCCTGCTAATCTGATCTGATTGCTTTTAAATGCATAATGCTTAAAAGTGTCATTGTCAGTATGCAAAATGAAAATCTATTTGCATTATTGTGAAAAGAAAAAAAAACAGAATAAAAACAAATTAGCCTACTGTTTTTCTAACATAACTCCTTTTGACAATTAAAAACATTCTGCAATCTTGCAAAACCAGTTGGTCGAATTGTTGACAGGTGATTCACCTGTCGCCTCCTACTCTAAGCCCCTCCCACTTCCACCAAATACTGGACTGTAGACTTTTGAATTAGTGATGAGGAAGTCTAGTCATTTCCGTCACTGTGCTAGCTAGCCAGTGAACCCACAACAATGCGAATCGGACATGTCCGAACGCTTATAGGTTCAGTACGCCCGACTCGGGAACAATTCAGTCCATTTAATTTACGAATCGTTCAGATAGATTTTAAGAACCGGGTTCATTACGATCCGAGTCAAAATAGCGATATAGCTCATTTGACTCGGATCGTTTTACAGAATCTTTTATCTGGTTCTCAAAATCTGTCTGAATCAGTCTCTCTGTCAAATCTACCTGTTGATTTTAGCCTCAGTTTGAATCAAATAAAACGATTCCACTCTATACTGAAAAAAGCAAACGTTCTTTCAAAGAAGTTATCTACACTTGCTTAAGGGGGGCGTTCGGGTTCTGTAAATGGATCGAAACTCACCTTAAATTCCACCGACAGCTGAGGCGTGTAATCGAGCGTCCAGAGCGCCCTAACTAGCGATGCCAGCTTCTCCGTCACCTCCCCTCTCACCTCCTCATTCCTCATCATCCCGTTGATCCTCCGCTCATTTAATTCACATTTATACTGCTCCAGACCCAAATACTCTGCCAGAAGTTCCGTGTTACTCAAGCACTGCACCACGGCGTTCATGAAACAGGTGTTTCCGTGATTTTTCAGACCCTGAACTCCCGGAGTTTTCTCGCCGTAGCACCAGGACAGTCTTTCTTTGACAGATCCATAAGAAGATGAGGGCGCAGCGGTCTTCCTCACCGAGTTCTCTCTGTAATTCCCAGAGTTGTGGGCGCTCAGAGTGTCTCCAAACCCACCATCATCATCCTCCGCCGCCGCGTCCGGCTGGTCTGCGGCCCCCAAGTGTGCCAAAGTGCCCAAAGTTCTGACAATCCTGCCTATAAAATTTCCAAGCGATTTTAACGATTTCCTTCTGAACAGCTTTTGGGACTTGTGCGTCTTATTCTTGCGCTTGGCTGACTTGGCTTTGATTGTTTGTTTCCTGGTTTCCCTCGGCGTATCCATATTTAGTCTGTTGTTTCACCCAAACCGATCAGTGGAAGTCAGTAGAGAAACAAGTGCACTGTGGTGTGAACTGAAGACACGGTGCTCCCGCCTGTGGGTCTCGAAAATCTACATCACTAAACCATCACGACGACGAAAAACAGACCGTAAATTAGGCGCCGGTGTCTGCACCGAGGCTCCTGATGACTAACGCGTCCACGACATTCCCTATCGCTGATCTCAGCTGCGCTAGTTTCGCTTTATCCATGACGCTCTTATACGCACCTGGAATTACACTAGTCTTAAAACATGCCTCAGACACAACTCTTGTTCTCTACACCACACCTACAGTGTACTTGTGTGTGGATGACCATTACTGGCCGTTTTTCGCCCGCTCCCTCTTTTTCTGGCTTCTGGTTGGAGTATATGCGTCTGAATGGTAGATACACGGCTTTCTACCCTCCCACTATGAATCTTATTAGCCTGGTTTACTTTGAACACGTATTGGGGGAAATGCATGTGGAAATGAATAATCCACAAACGGAAGTTTATTTACACCTGTAGCTATTTACCTGCTTCATGGCTGCTCACCAATATTTTCCCTCCAAACACAAACAGACATTGCATATTTTATGTATTTAATTATCGTTGTTTTCTAATTAATGTCCACATTCAGATAAAGCCTTCTTTAAAAGATTTTATATGGTACAAGCTATTGGAATATTCCCGTTAACACATCACAACATAATCTTTCAAACGATTTTGCTGCAGTTTGGACAGTATTTTAATTAACTCAATAATTCTCCTTCACAATAGCACACAGTATTGTGATAATATGCAATATGTAGCTCATGTTACTTATACAAATGAGTCTATCTAAACCGGAATATTTTAATAATCAGTTTATGAATAACTTACATTAATACCAGAATATTTCTTCTATATTCAGAATATTTGTGTAAATGCAGATGATGTTAAATATTCTGAGGATTATTCATTTTTATATATATATATATATATAATCCTTGTGCTTCTAAATTATTGACTCGATTCGGTGCCCCTTATGCGGCCTGAAGATAACTTCAAATGATTTAAAGACATGCCATTAAAATAAGCCAAAACAAATAAAAATCAAAATGTTTCTTATTTTAATTCACCTTTTCAGCAAATTTTTTCCTTCATGTTATCCTGAAAAAGCCTAATTTTAAAAATGCGATTTCTAGACCTTTAGCATTCTTAATTCTAAAACTCCATGGCATTTTTATGAGTATACAGTTTTCTAGTTATGCCAAGCTCTAAAACATTTTATCAGGTAGAAAGTGTAATAAAATATTATATTTTTATTTATTGCCAGTAAATCACAGCAACTGGAAAAGGCATTATTGTTATATATATATAAAAAGTCTATTCATTTTTTTAAATTAATAAATTCCTTAATTCTAAAAGTATACAGTTTTCTAGTTATGCCAAGCTCTAAAATATTTTATCTGGTAGAAAATGTGAGTAAAATAGTAGTAGTAGTATTTATTTGTTTATTTCCTGTAAATCACAACAACTGGAAAAGTCATGGGGCCTTCCAATGTTGTAGTGGACAATGGAGGGCTATTGTAGGCATAGATTATGATAAATATTCTGAGGTTCATAAACAATTATGCCACAATTGTGGTGTGTCTTTTTGCAAATTAGGGGCCCCCTACTGTTGCCTTGTGTGCTTTCTTTTAAAAGTTTGTTCATGATTCAAATTCAAGTGTCATATTTATATATTTTCATAACTATAGACCCATTATGCACCTATTAAGCAAGGAAGAATGAGACCAGATAAACAATAACGAGTAAACTCAGCACAAAATTTAACCTGTATAATACCAACATTTATTTATTTACACTCTCTTCCATGTTTCTTGTCTTATCAGACACCCTGTGCAGGTTTATCCTCTGATAGGTATCTTTTTTTAGCACACACCTTACCTTCAAGACAGGTAAATACAGTTTATATGACTACTGAGATCAATTTTGATTGGATAGCCCATTGACTTTGTTACTGTATGTCTTTAAATCAACAACAACAAGGTCATCGGATTGCCTGATCTTTGTCATCTGTGGTGCAGGCCATACCAAATAAAATAAGCGGAGCATCCACTTTTCTGAAAATGTATGTGGCCGAATATCCTTACTGTTAGGGGTTAAGATATTCATTATTGAGTCTGTTCCTCTGAGGTGAGAGGAAATTTGGGACAGGCACATCCAGATGCTGGGTTCCCACACCGTGCTGTACTTCTCCAAGCCTCCCCCGGCAGCTCTCTGGAGCTTCTCAGGTGATATATTAGCTGACAGCGCAGTTCACAAAAAGTCCTCAGAAACTGGGGCTCTAGGCTGCTTTATTTCAATGAAATGACTGGAATTGGACTGTTTAATGGTACCTTTAAATCTCGCAAGAATTCATAACCTAATTTTCAATACAATTATTTGCAAGAAAAAGGAATGGAAGGTAACCATTTGTCTTTTCTGGGTTTTTCCTGTAGTTTGTAATATTATATTTTAAATATACTAAATAAATCCAAAGGGCCATACACTGTACATGTATTTGCTCCTAAATATTTCACAGACATTGTAACATCAATTTTGTTGGTTCCTAAATCTTTAGTAAAGGACAAATGCAAGTTTTATAACAAAAATAAATTTCTTAAAAAAATTATCTTTGTTAAAGACAGTCAGTGCAAATGTATATCTGAACTATCATCATATCTGAACTGCATTATATGCATTATTCACTGTTTAGGGTTCTATGAGGTTTGTGGGTATCTCCACCTCAGGATAGCTCCATCGGCACTGGTGCTGACAATATATCTGCTGTTGTGACAGATCCTCACATTTGTGATGCTTCCACTGTGCCCGATGCCAACATGGGTCACTTCACCATCAGAATAGTGCCAGAGCTTCAATAATTTGTCATCTCCACCTGAAAGAGAGATTAAGTGCAGAAAGCAACATGAATATGCACTAAAAACAGAAATGTTAGATTAGCACCTCATCAACTCAAACTGTGAAACTCATTTAAAAATAACTGCCGGGATCAGTTTGAATTCTGCAAGTGTTTATTTAGACCTGGTGAGCAGACATTTATCCAACTGTTTCGCGAATGATACTTTTCGGCACCGTTAAAAATACTTCTGTTTATATTGTTTATTGTGCCACCTGTTGTTTCTGTTACATCCGCCATATGACAGAAGAATGACTCAGTGAAATAACTCTGTATGTGAAAAGATACTGAAGGTACCTACCAGTCACAAAATATTTTCCGTCCTCAGAAATGTGCATGCCATTTATAGCTCCAGACAAGGAGCCCTCAAGTTCTCTGATTGCTGAACCATCATAAACCTCCCAGTAGCCAATCTGTTCAAAGGTAAAGATTGCATTTCAAATGTCCTATTCTGGTCTAGATCTTAGTTTTAACGGTGGAAAAATAAATAAATACATAATCATGTTAATTAAATAAAATAAAAATCAGATAAAAAAATTCCATGGTTCATGGATGTTCATGGATGACAAATCTGATAAGACTGCAACAATTCAAATAATGAAAAAAAAAGAAAGAAAGACAATGTAATTTCTCAGCATGCACTCAGGTCATTACATCAAAGAACTGATGTAATCGCAACAGAAATATCAAGATGTAATTTGTTATAGTGCAACATAAGAAATAACAAATGGCTCTAAGCCTTCAGTTGTTTTTGGTCTTGGGTTGTTGCATCTGAACCTGTATACAACAGATATTACATAAATCGAATTCCTGGTGAGTGGTGACCACTGATTGCATTTTAGCAGTAATGGAGATGTTCACTGATGTGACATGGCTTTCCCTTTTTTAGATAATTGGATTATTCATTAAAAAAAGAAAAAGAAACAAAGAAGTTCTTTTCATTCATTAAAATATACTGTCAGAATGTATCAAACCTCAGGCTCATACTTATGATACTGCGCTGAAATCAAATTAAACAAATAAAGTAATTCTATCAAGTTTTAAAAGGTTTGAGCACTGTTTGAACTGCAGACAGAGCAGGTCTGGAACGTCTCATTGAGATGGCTTTTTCCCAGCAGGCTTTGCGCCAGCACTGGGTATCCGGCATGACCCCAGCATTGTGTCCTTTCAAGTACTGTACCTACTGTGCCGGATTTGGCTGCTTTTCCTGGACAACAATGGATTCACATTTGTGTTTATTTGGCTACAGTCTGGAGTATTATTAATTACTGCTATTAGATGGTACATGTAAACCAAACAGGTTTGTTCTTTGTCCAACTGCAGCAATTATTTAATCACAATGTTGCACACTTTCCTTTAATACCATTGTTGATAATAAATTGTGCTACTTGCCAAAAATATAAGATCTTGAAATAAAACAGAACAGCTCCATGCTCTAAAATCTTAATCTTTTTTTTCCCCTACAGATTCTAAGGGTCTCATTCTTTCCTCTGCATCTGTGTGATGGACATATGTTTAATACACAGCAGCACACACGTATGCTAATAAACTGCGGTCTTTAAATGGGCACTGATGCTGTGCCCTAAGACTAGCAGATGGACTATTTGGCACGGAGTAGAATGAGCAGATCATACTACATCCACAGGAAACTGGGAGAGCTTTCTGTCAGCTTGTTGTTGTGCACACAGTATCTATCTCTGTTTTTTTTTTCTTTCGGTCTACTCTCTCACCTATCTGTCACTCTTTCTTTCTGGCCACATTTTTCTCAAACACATGCCAGTACATCAGTCTAGATCAGTCTAGCCTTGTACCTTTCTGTCAGTGCCACTGGTGATGATCTGGAATTCCTCAGGGTGGTAACATACAGCACTGAACAGGGTGTTGGACAAGACCATTTGATTCCTCACAAACCTCCTGGATCGGAAATAAGAAGAACACAGACAGATATGGTGAAGGGTTAAATCAAACAGAATGTTTTTCCACAAAGCAAATCTGCACTTTGAATGTTTGGTTCGTGTGAGGGTGGTTGATTTAACTTTTTAACACATGACAAGCTTGTGCACAGAGGAAGAACTTGTGGGCAAGAACTTTCGCTCAGTATGTCTACATTGATTATCTATGATTTGATGCTCTTCAAACTTACACCAGGTCCCAGATGATGCAAGCTCCATCAGAGCTGGCCGTCACACACTCCTTGTCGTTACTCTTGATCTTAATGCAGTTAACTGTAGCTTTGTGCTCCTTCATGATCTCAATGAGCCGATATGTGTTCTGGAATATCTCCCAGACTCTCACCTTCATTACAAAGAGATGTCAAGGCATACATTTATTCTGCATTCTACAAAAAAAAAAAAAAAACTCTACTTTTTACATGGCTCTGTAAAATTTGATTCTGACTGGCCAACTGTGCCATTCTGTGGACAAATATGGTTGTATAATGAAAGCTAAACTGTGTATTTGACCGTTATCCAAGGCAACTAATTTCTTATGTTCAGTACGCTACAGTTCAAATGTTTCTGAAAGACCTTTTTTAAAATGTTTTTAAAGAAGTATTTTATGCTCACCAAAGCTGCATTTGATCACAAATACAGTAAAAACAGTAATACTGTGACATATTA